CACACACAGAGACACACACACACACACACACACAGACACACACACACACACACACACACACACACACACACAAAAACACCCCTGCACGTCTCCTGGGCCATTCATTAATCTCACATGTGTTGGTGAGCGTGCACAAACTCGTGTACGCAAAAACAGTGACACACACACACTAACACACACATATACACATGAACACACACATGCAGGTGTGACAGTAAGACAGATGACTGGTGGCTCATCACAGTGTAACTCCCCCTCTTGGCCAAACACTGATTCATCTAGACATCTTAGACAGTTGCCTCTGTCTCAGTGGAAAGAGCCAATCTGAAACTGGTGTCAAAAAAAAATAAATCAACAGTTGCAGAACTGTGAAAGGGAGTCTGACTCCTGAACTGCAGGTTTATATTTACATGCTTTTAGATTAATATTTGGTGTTTTTATTTTATCTGATTTATATTTACTAAAATACTTGCTGTAATGAGTATTAACAAATGTCCATTTAAAAAAATTTAAATTTAAGGCTAATGCAAAACTGTTCTCGAGGGCCGCATTACATGACATCATGGGACAACAAACCTATGAGCCTGTCGTGGTCTTACATTTCTCAGTCTCAGTGATCTGTTCTGCTCTTATTCCCTTAAACTTACCTTCAGTTCCAACACCTTTCTGGCTTTCTGTTAGAAAATTAACAAGCAGCCAGCTGCTGCATTCAGGAAATGTAACAATCTGGCAGCAATTTTGTGGTATCTTATTTTCTCTTTCTCCTAAACATTATTAAATTGAGCCACTTTAGTAAACTCCAAAACAAGCCTCCATCTCAAATATTTCTTAACACACCAATCAGCAGAACATGCAGCTCCCATTTACCTAAAAGAGGCAACTTTTGAAAAGCACTTCTCTTGGGAATGGAGCCGTACTGTAGTATCAGTTCAGCGAGCATACAACAGAAGTACTGTTGATCTCGTGGTAGTGATGAAAAAGTAGGTCTCCTGTAATGGCTGCATGTCTATGAAAGCATGTATTGAATAAACAAAACACCAGCCGAAAGCATACATTACATCAATTTGTGGCAATCAGGTTGAAATAATCAAACATTTTTGAAAACCAATGCAGAAAAAAAGCAGGCCAGTGTACTTCCAGGGTAATTTAATTCTTCATGGTGCAGCTTTGCCCTATTCCGCAAGCCCGATTTCAGATGAGAGGCTTCGATTCATCTAATTTATCTATCGTTTTACAGCACATGTTTTGCTTGCTGCTCCCCCCCGCTCCTCCACACTGTTTCAACAGATCCATCTGCGGGCTCTCTAGTTATTCATGGTGCAGCTGAAGTCATTAGGAGTGCTGCTGAAAATGCTGATTATGAATTAGTTACACATATACTAATTGCGTGTGCATTAGTGGCTCAGCGCTCACTAGCTAACAGCAACATTTAGCTCAATCGACAAAACAAACTTCTCTTCCCCTGCATTGGTAACAAGCTTTTCTCTGTTTCCCTCTCTCTTTGGTTGCAGGTGTTTCTCACGGTCGGATCACTTGGCGCTACACATGAAGAGGCACATCTGAGGAATTTGAGAGAGGTCAGCGGGAGTGGAAGAGAGGGGAAGGGGATGGAGGCGGAGTGGAGGAAGGAGAGGGAGCATCATCTGCAGAAAAATAACACCATGGATGTTAGAGAGAGACAGAGGGATGGACTCAAAAAACACCAGATTTGGCCATTCTGGACTGGAGGGAGAGGCACCACACAGGGACGCTGACTACAGACTGAAACACAGGAAGGCAGACAGACTCTGTCAGTCTGTGCTCAACCAGTTGGTCCATGATTCCACAGTGATTTGTCGTCACCTCACAAATGTCTCCTGGTGTTGTCGCATGGACGATACAGACGCTCCATCCCACCCTTCGTATGTGTCTCAGAGGGGATGTCACACGATGAATGGTGGACCACGTGCCTGTAGTTGGCAGCTCTTTCTTGTAGTCGCTCTTGCAGTCTTTGCAAACGTCCCTTGGCAAAACGCTTCCAAAATGTCAGCCCTGTTCATGCAGCAGTGCTCCATGTACCAGCGAGCTCACCAACGCCAAACTGGACCAGTTGTATAGTAATTTTCACTCACAGCACAACTGCTGTTTGTATATCCACGATTTCCTCTTCTTAGAACGTACTGTATCTTGAGCTGAGGAGAACATTTCCAACAGTAGCTAAACAGCATCATCTCACAGGGTAAGCAAGCAAGAAAGCTGGCTTTCTCTCCCTCAAACTTGCCACAGCCTTTACAAATTCGCCAAAGGGTTTGTTATCTTATATATGGGACAGATAATAATTTGACAATTTTTCATCTGACCTCTGTCACATCTGCTTACTGGATCCATTCATAAATCCTTCTGGTTCGATGGCATCGGAGCACTTGTTTGAACGGAGCGTTAGATTGGATTTCCCATAGAATTGAAGATGGGAGTGTGTTGCACTGATGTGCTGTGCAGACTGATTGAGGTCATCCAGAGGACTGGCTTGCTTTATGAACATCATCTATTGAGGGTTACCGCTGGATGAGGCTAACAAATCTACTCTGGGAAAGACTCTCCTAGACATCTCCTAGAATGTCAGCTGAAACCGAGCATCTCAAGAGATGTAAGATGGCTCCTAAGAGTGTTTTTCCTCCCCAGGATTTTGGCTCTTAAGAGTTGTCGTCAGGAACTGTTGCACAATTGACTCTTTGCAAACTTTTTGTAAAAATGCCCCATCGTCTTGAGCTGGGAGACAATTTGGGACTCACCAAATGGCTTTCACATGCCGCCAAAGTGTGAACAGCCACATGCACAAGTCGAAGCAGCTAGCTGACTGCGATAGCACACCGAACGCAAGATCACTATGTATGATAAAGGCTATATTGTTTCTAAGAAAATATTCTCCTATTTGTTCAGAACAGACAATTGAAAAGACCATTTTGAAGAATACATTGGAAATGGATGCAGCCAAAAAAAATGTGTCTACTGTAGATGCCTGAAATGATCTCTTTGGCCTTTGAGAGTGATTGGCACCTAACTAGCCACTGGGTTGAGATAGGTTTCGTCCTGTTCACACCATCCATGCAGATCTCTTTCAATTTAGCAGCTTTCAGATTTCACTTTAGAGAAACTCAGCATTCAATAGCTCTCCTAATTGGGCCTATGCATATCCAAGAACATTCCTGCTGACTTCCTGACCATTCATGTATGACTAAATGCAGATCCCTGCTGAACACGGAAGGACTTATAGAAAGACACACAACACAAATTCAATCAATTGGGTGGCTCTTCTCAGAGCAAATCAATGTGAATGTATCTATTGTAAGTCTGTACATGTTGCTGGGGCCAGGAAAAAACTTGTATGGTTGGTAAGATCATACCAGACACTATTTCTGTTTATACAGTAGTTTCTCTTTTTAACATTAAATGAAAAGGTTGGAATAACTAGTAATGGCTGGTAGCTTTTGACACTTTACTGGTCGTACTGGACCAGCAGGAGGTCATGAGTGCATATTTCCAGTGGGTGGCTGAAATGGGTTAAGGGAGGAACAGATCTGCTCAGTCAGCAAAGATTACAGCCCCATCAGCTCATGAAACTGCAGTGGAGTGAAACCCACACACATGAGACACATACATGCACTCCTGGAAAACTGGAATTAACATTTGTCCTTGGTGAACTGACTCTTGTCCAATAGAACAGATAGGCATAAAATCTAGTTGTTGCTCTTTGCCGCATTAGACTGTCATCTCCTTGATCTGCAGATAGAAATGAATTTTAGATGAACATTGACTCAACTGAAGCGCACAAAAATCAAACAGGCAGCTTGGACAAAAGCAGATTGTCAGGATTCTTACGAACTTGATTGGGAGCAACTATGTCAAGGTGTTTATTCTTTATTTTACAAGACTTTTGATACTTTGAGGCGAAGAGAGGCACACAGAAGTCTGCTTGTTGGCAAGGGAGACAGTAAATTGATTTCACTCTGTGTACCAGAGGCACATCTCAGTTTTGCAGATTTAAATGTCTGCGCCTCTGGAAGTAGAAGCAGTATCAGCTCCTGCTTTGCATTCATTGGAAGTCTTTCTGTCTAAACGTGCAAACTCCTTTTTAAATTTAACATCTTGGTGACATGCCTTCACTTGCAAAGATAGGAGGGAGTGACCACAATAGAAAACAACACGTTTTAACTGCTGCTTTATTTTCAAGAAGAAATTCTCACAGGCCATCCGGGTTGCAGCTAAAACAACCTGGATGGCCTGATACCAGTGCTATCATGCCTTCTTTTTGTTTGCTGGCATTAATACAAGTCACAGATACTGAGAAACATTTGAGATTTGGTTTGTAGAAGATCTAAAAATATCCAGATCAGATGGGAATGTCAGAGCAGGTTAGCAGGTTTGTGGTTTTCCTGCCCGACTTTACATGTGGAAGATAAAATGAAGAAAAGCAGTTTAACCCATGGGTTAAAGTTGTATCATCAATGGCAGCTCTACTTGTGTGTTTCAGTATTTTAACGGGGCATGCTCCTGTTTAACTGAATGGTTGCGAATGTGTGGGAATGTGCTTGGAAGTGGGTTTTTTTTGTGTACGAATCATAGACAGCTGAGGATTTTGGACTGAAACGCTGAATGTGTTGTTGTTTTTCATGTTAATTGAGACTTTCAGGAGACGCGACATGGAAATATTGAAATTACAGGACATTTTAGAATTTGGTCTTCTTGTGACTTGACATAAACTAATTTTCCCATGTGTTTGCCGGGAGCTCGAGAACTGGGATTTCAAATGTGAATGTGTTTTCTGGAAAGGTTGTTTCATGTTGTCTCTGAGGATGCGGTTCAGTTCTGTGTCATCTTAATGAATGATTGTCAATTCTGCTGTGCCTGTGTGTTCTTCGTCTGTTTGTATTTGCACTCTGAATTTTTGGAAAAATCACTTGCATATCTGATGTTTTCTGTCTGCTTGTACACTACACTTCACACAATGACCCCGGGTGATGAAACACTGATCACAAAGTCTGTATAGTAGCTGTTTTTAGCACAAATGTACACACTCATGCATACATGCAACATGGATTCACACACATTGCAGACATGCTAACACACATCCCAAACTACATGCATGCAGACACTCCCAAAACACACAGATTTATACAACAAAACATACATCCTGATACAATGATGCAAATACACACACACACACTCTCTCTCTGTTATCCTTGTGCGTTTTCACCGTTTTTCATGCCAGCTTGTGAGAGTCAGACAGCCAGACTGCAGCTCTTGCTCTCAGCAGAGGGGGGGAACACGCATTATTATGTGTGACACCACCTCTGTTTCCACCAGGTCTGAATTTCAAATCAAACGCACCCCCTTTTTCTACCAGCATTCCCTCACCACAGTCCCCACGCACATCCCCCCCAGCCCCGCCACCTCCATTTTCTCAAATATGATCCCTCTCAACTCCTCTCCTCTGTCCGACTCACTCCCCCTTTCCCTCCACCTCTCCTCCTACCTTCCCCTCGTTCCCTTTTCCACCTTTTTCCTCCGTTGTCTTTCTCCTTTTCTTTTGCTGTACAAAGTGTTTCAAATCTATCATTTGTATATTATGATGTATGGGTACGATAATGTTCTTTATTATGGAAAAATGAGAAAGATTTATTTTTGTTACTGGTTTGTTTCATAATTCCTTTTTTAAATTGGTATTGTAATATCTCTATGCAAGGAACTGTTCGGTGAATCGTTTTTATTTAAGAATGTAATTATGTGTAATAAATGGTAGAAGCAGTTTGGCATGGAGTATTCATGGTTCTTGGCTGGTCTGTTAATGGCGGTTTCATCCACCAACAATATGCACCTAATCATCCATCTTCACATAGAATATTTTCTGATTTCTTATCAAATCTCAATCACAGAACCATTCAGTTGGCTAACAATGAGCGTCCCGAGTACATTCACATACCCTTTTGCTTGTATTCTCACTGTCCAAACAACTTTTAAAGACCGGCTGGTTTAGATTTGCTGCACTTTCAGACTTAAATCTGCAAACCAACTGGGTTAAAGTGGGCAGGAAAATTAATTTACACCCTCCTTTTTTCTGCTATTTGCAGCAAACCACCCCTGGATGAATTAAAAAAAGCCTCTGATTTATCGTTCCTTTTGATCAAACACAGGAAATGGGCCAGAATACCTTCACTTTGCCTGAATGCACTCTCTCGTTGTCTCCCTCTAAGGGAGCTACGGCATGTTAATTACATCTGTTACCAACCAAGGTGATGACTTATCCGCTATTCTGCCTTTTGACCATGACTAGCTGATAAAAGGGTAATCGAATAACTAATGGCTAATTAGGGAGTAATTACTCCCTGGTAAATGGCCCTATGCAGTGTATTAATTCTCCTTGGGTCTGGCAGTGAGAAACTCCCATAAGGTTTTTTGTTTCATTTAATGCTCCCTAATTGAAATGGGCACCCTCATCAAGAAGCTTACATGTATCTGTCGAACCTAATGTTCTTTTATCTGTAATTACAGACAGCTCCATATTATCTACCTAACTACACCTACTACGTCAATCCCAGAGACACATTATGAAATTAGAAACGATGGAGTCATTTTTCAATAAAGGTCGCACGTCCCATGAGCGCTTTTCAATCGTCATTTCCATTCCGTGTGATGGAAATGAGGTTGCATGTGAGTTCACAGCTGAGCTAAATGGTCTTAATGTGTTCCAGCAGAGACAGGACTACATTCATATCAACTTGTGTTCATAAAGGTTAACACACACGTTCACAAATGCCGCATCATGCAGTATAATGCTGTATATCTGCAGGCAATCTTTTTTTTTATTGGATATATTTGAGTCTGCTGCAGTCCCAGTAAGACCAGGAGTCCTCAGCCATGCAAGCAGCAGTCTAAGGCTCTGCTTCGAGCCGAATGCAAATGCTACAACATGCTCATAATGGCAATGCTAAAATGCTGATGTTTAGTAATGTTTCCCATTTTCACCGTTTTAGTTTAGCTTAGTTAGCATGCTAACATTTGATAATTATCACTAAACAAAGTACCCTTGAGGATGATGGGAAAAACATAAATTCAAATTTGAACTGATGAGACGAGAACCTTACGGATGAAGTTATTGCAGTTAATCCTGAGGGGGACATGAATTTCCGAACCAAATTTCATGACATTCCATCTAATAGTTTTTGAGACATTTCACTCAAAACCACAAATGGGAACCTCATAGTGGCGCCAGAGGAAAAGTATGGGGATCAGCAAAGCCAGGGGGCGTCATTCTCTGGGGACCATGAAAGTCTGAACAAAATGGTACGTCAGTCCATCCAGTAGGTGTCTTACATACATTAGGACATACTCTGACGAACCTGATGAAATTATTTTGGTTAATATATCCTTAAACCAAATTGGACAAGATTGAAAAATAAAATTCAAACAGGCACACGTTCCACACATTTTCTTCTTTTCTAATGGCTCTTGACAGCTGGTGAATCAATGCACAGACACACTATGGAAAGAGGTGGATTTGTTATCCAGCTAATTACACCAGGGATCCCAAGCAGAATAATCTGAATAATAGAAAAGCTGAGTTGATAAACAAGGCTGTTGAATGCTTGGTTACATGTACTCAGTCACCCTGTTCTCGCTGTTGTTTCCAATCATCTGCATCAAATGATAGCATCTATAGAAAATCTTGTAGGACAAGAGGATTAAAACATCCCATGATATTATCTGTTCGAAGTACTTGACATTATTTTTGTCATGCATGAGTGAGGGCAAAGTATTTATTTTTTAGTATGTATAGGTATCAAAAAGCAAAATTCAGGATTATTTGGCAACCTTGAATTCAATTTAAAAGCATAAAACGTGTCCTGCTGACTATGTGAAATCGAAATTCAACATTTAATGGTTACAAAAATGATGACCCCAGAACAGTATTGTTTGTTCCAGACTTTTACAAGTTTACTGTCTCATTGTTCAGTATCCTGCAGGCTTATCAGCTTGCATTGAGCTGCTACTGTCTCTACTCTGCTATTCACCGCCGAAACACCTGAGCACATTTCAGAAATGTTGTATACAGTAAGTCAGCTGTAGTTCACGCCATTGAAAGAGGGTATAAAAGGTGTGACAGCGCTGAATTGAAGCCACTGTAATGAAAGAAAGACTGATTCTTAAGCCAATGCAGTGATTCACTTAACCAGCAAACATAAGGCCCCTTTTTGCATGTGGTTGTGCAACAGAAGATTTAACCAGTGGAACTGCCAATGCCTGTGGGTGTCTTGTAGGCGTTTGGCAGCCATATAGGGATGTTATTGTCACATCTGGCAATGTGTAGATGCCAGCATACTGGGAAGCAGAGCTACAAGTTAAAGGCCCCCTCACAATATCTTATTCCATGCTCACACCGTCTTGCAATCGGGTGACAACAAGAACTCTTTCGTAAGATCACATAGAACTACTAGGCAACTCATTTGCATAAAGACAAGCTTCAATCTGTAACGCCTCAAAATCTCCCGTTGGAATGCCTACGCAAAGTAGAGTATACCTAAAATGAGAATGAGGCTTGTCCTACGGAGGGGTTGTGAACCTTGGGTTCTTTGGTTTTATGCCATGAGCAGCCATGAGTTTAGGTATTTCCAATTATAGGGAATATGTCGAGGCGGCCCTTGGTAATTAAAGCCTAATCATGCCGGTGGATTCAGAGAAGCATCCTCATCAAGCTTTCATTAGTCTCCGTCCTTGTGATGCCCAGCAGCAACCCAACTGCCTTTAGGAATGCTCAGATAGCCTGTTCTCAAAGCAAATCCAGTTATTTAGTTACTATAAAAAGTTATTTTACAAAAAGAAAAAAGATAAAACAAAGATAAAAAATAAGGCAACTGACTTAAAATGACATCCTAAAATATAAGTCAAATTGAATGTAGACCTTTAATGTAGGCAGGACCCTGACCATGCAGAGCTCTGTAAGTGATCAAAAGAACCTTGAATCTGATTTTGGAGAGCCAGTGAAGAGAATTCAGAATCAGTGTCACATTAGACCTTTTGGAAGACCTGGTCAAAGCATTTTGGACCAATTGCACACAGTCTGGGTATGCTCTGGGGATATTCTGTGCATGTGACACAATGGGCCTGCACTGTTGCAGTGTTTCTCAGTTAGAAAAAAGGAATGAATCAAACACACACACACAAATCAGTACCTGGAAAGAAGACAGAAAATGACAATTCTTGGGAATAGGTTGGACTGGGAGATTTTTTTTTCCACTTGTTTTGGACAAGACATTTTGGACTCAATAATAGACAAAACATGCCCAATAAACTGACTTTAACAATATATAATTCTGTTATTTTACAAGAGAAGAATTGAATAGTACATTTTAGACACCACGTTGTGTTTTTCTCCCTAAAGAAACATTTTCTGAGCTAAATTTAGATCCAAACAGCAGTAGCATTGTTTCTGAGACAGGGGAAATTAATCTCCCCTGTCTCAGAAAAAAGCTGTGAAGTGGCAACTCGTGAATTGAGCTGTTGCCACAGATGTGCAAAAAATCTGCACGACCATTGAAACAATTGTGTCCTAGATGTACAAGAGCTCTGTTTTCAAAGTACTTTCCCATTCCAACTGGGGCGATGTATATTAATGTGTATGTACCTGTACTTGTTTCCCCCTCCAGCTCCTGAATGCTCTATCACTTTAGAGATAGATTTGAAAGAAACTACAGGCGCGAGAGAGAACGAGCAGCTGGATAGGCTGCTGGTCTTGTGCTCTGAGAGAGATCAACCAGAGCACCGTGTGAGAGCACCTGGCTCTCCTATATGCTGCCTGTTTGACAGACAGCACAGACACCTGGAAGCCCAGTGAGAGAGCGCAGTGTAAAAGCCACTGCTGCTCTACAGGGCCATGCATTATGCAGGAAGCTCTCTCTCTCTCGCTCCCCCTCTGCCCCCTGCTCTGCGGTAAAAATAGATCAACAGACCTGAGCGTTCAGCTCTTTTTTATGCTTCTCACTTTCACTTGGATCTCACCAGGTGCAGCGGCTGTTGGCTCCCACTTCACTTTCTTTGCCTGAATGTTTGTGTATGTGTGCGAGTTTAAACACCCATGTGTTTGCACACACTTTCGAGAGCGTGTGTATATGCACGTGTGCATGTCAACCAGGGCTAGACTGTTTTACCAGTTTGCCACTGCACAGATTTTTAATAAAAGTGGGATATTAGTCTTGCAGTTCTGTTTCCTGCTATTATGGTGAGAGAGACCCTCACATTGGTTCACTGGTGGCATTATGTTTGTAAAGGGGACACACCATGCTTTTGTGCTCTTCTAGGTGTGGTTGTGTCCCCGTACACAAAGCCAGGTCCATAAAGAAATGTTTTTTTTCCAGTTTGCTGAGAAAAACCTGACAGGCCTGCACAGAGCCCTGACCTTAAACATTTATGATGAACTGGAATGCTGACTGCAAGCAGCACAATCTCACCGATGCTCTTGTGGTTGAATGGGAGCAAATCCTGGCAGCTATGTTCCAAAATGAAAAGTGAACTGCCAATGCTCTTTAAAGAAGCATATTAATGCCACTAGTATTGAAATGAGAAGTTAAATAATCACATAGGTGTAATTTATGTATGATTGTTTTTGTCCCTTATTGCACCTGCTGTAGTAGCATCAGTCAGGACCTTTCACACAATCTTATAAACCAGGTGCTCCAAATGTCTGAATTCTGGGACATTTTTTTGTAAAAAAATAATCAAATCCATAGATATAGGTGCACAAAAAAAAAAAAG